GGGCAGGACCCCCGCCCCGCAGGCACCGGGGGTCCCGGCGTCGGGAAGCCTTGGCGGGAGGGAGGGCAGCCCAGTGCCAGGGTCCCGGCGGAGGCCCCCGCCGCCACCGGGCTGCCAGAAGAAGTTCAAGTGCTGGAGGAGGGACAGGTGACCCCGGCCACCCAGGCCACGCTCCGCCACCGCCTATTAATTGGGCGCTAATAGCACTTAATAGGAATTCCTGGAGAAGCGGCTCTGGCTTGCAAATGAAGGAGAACACGGCCAAAAATTACCTCCCAGCTAATTTTCCCAGTTCCCGAGCGTGCCGCGTGGCCAGGCAGTGTGGTGTGGCGGCGAAACCCCACGGAGCATCGCTGCCCGCTTGCCCCGCGCCAGCCAGGGGATGGCGGGAGGCGGGGAGCAGAGGCCGAGGGACCTGGGGGCACCGGGGCCGTGCCCTGTCCCTGCCCTGGGGCCGGGCTGGCAGTCGGGGCTGGCCAGTGTGACGCTGGGCCGGGGTGGTGCCCAGCACCCCTGGCAACGAGCTCCGGCTTGTCCCAAACAGCCAGCGAGCCATGGACATGCACGGACGCCTCACCTTCCTCCTCCTCCTCCTCAGCCTCCGTGCCTCAGGTAGGTACTTGAGGCTCACAGCGTTGGGGGTACCCTTTTGGCAGACCCTGGGTGGGGGACGAAGAGGAGGGGGGCAGGGAACAGATGCCCCTCATTTGTCCCCATGTGTGTGGAGCTGCACCCAGGATGGGCAGAGGGGCTGGCAGCTGCCTGCTTGGGTTCAGGCAGGGAGGAGGCATTGCTGGGGCATCCTCAGGGCGTTATGAGGGCATCACTGGGACATATCCAGACACCAGTGGTGCAACCCTGGAGCATCACAGGGACATCTCTGGGGGTTCCCCAGGGCATTGCCGGGAGACACCCGGCAGGCTGGAGTGACACTTGTCTCTTTGCAGGGACTGTCGTCAGAGCAGCAGGTAAGGGTGGTGTGCCCCTGGGCCCTGCTGCACCCGGCAGGGACACCCGTGCCCACGTGGGTGCCTGGGTGCGGGAGCAGAGCTCCCTAAGCACGGCTGGGCGAGCTGTCAGTGGCATTGGCCAGTTGCGAGGTTGGTCCCTGGGGTCTCCCGCCAGCCCTGCCCGACCTGCCACGTGTGGTGGCCCTCAGCGAGGACGCGGCACCGGGCACCCGCGTGGCCGAGGTGACCGTGTCCTGCAGCAATGCGAGCGGCAGCCCCAATGTCACCCTGCACAGCATCGAGCCTGGCCACCCCTTCAACCCCATCGCCATCAGCGCTGACCCTGTGGCCGCCGCCACGTTTCATGCAGAGGTGAGGCTGGGGGACGGGGAGCGGGGCAGGAGCCCATGGGCGCCTTGCTGAGTGCCGTGTCCCCATGGCAGGTGACACTGCGTGCCGGTGCAGAGCTTGATGCCCATCGGGTTAACCAGTACACCCTGACCCTGCGGGCTGCTTGTCCCGGGGAGGATGAGGTGGAAGAGCAGCTCTTTGTCCGGGTGACGGCAGAACTGGCGCTGCGCTGTGACACGCCCTTCACCAGCGCGGGTAGGAGCCAGGGGAAGCATGGGGAGCAGGGGCCGTGGGTGCTGGCTGGCACTGGGCACCCACAGCCATGCTGTTGTGCCACAGGGGGAGATGTGGTGCAGGTGCTGGCGGACGTGGCACCCTGGACACCCCTGTACGCAGTGCTGCCGCAGCCGCTTGGCGGGCTGACGGTGAGTGGCAGTTGCTCACAGGCGGCGCAAGCAGGAGCAGTCTCAGGGACGGCTGAACCCCGGGTGGGGAGGCGGGGGGCAGGGGTTCACCCTCCTTCCACCACTCATCTCTCTGCAGTTCAGGCTCCAAAACCACGACACACCACTCATGCTCACCCGCAGGGGCCTGGTGCTGGCGCCTGCCAGTGGCTTCGACCCCAGCAAGGACAACCAGGTGGGCACCAGTGTCCCCAGGCTATCCCAGCCTCCTCTCAGCCCACCTGGGCTTAGGCCCTTGCTGGCACTGGCAGCAGGTCTCTGCATCCTGCTCCTCCCTTCGGGCTCCTGTCTCCCCCAAGTCCCAGCAGTGCTCCAGCCCTGCCCTATACCCAGCTCCATCCCCTTCTGCATCTTGAGTCCTGTCCCAGTCCTCATCCCTACCCTATTCCCATCCCCATTCTGGTCTCTAGCTCATCCTCAGCTCCATCTTCATCCCTCCTCCCACCCCTGTTCCTGCTCCAAGCCCCATTCTTGTCCCTGTCTCCCTCCCCTCCCCTTTCCTGTCTCTGTCCCTGTTCCTGTCCCCATCCTGTTGTTATCTTTATTACTATCCTTATCCCCATCCCCGTCCCTGGTGCCACTCGGGGCTGTCCCATGGCCGCCCCAACCCTGCCCCGCAGACATTCAGGCTGGAGATCGAGGTGACAGACCGCCACGGGCACAACTGCAGCGGGGCCGTGAGGGTGGAGGTGCTGCCATCGCGCCGTCCCCGTGTCACCTTCCTGTGAGTGGGGCTTGGCTGGGCAGAGGGTGCTGGTGGCACCAGGCCATGCCATGCTGCCTGCCTTGCCTGCAGTGAGCCAGAGCGGGACGTGACAGTGCTGGAGAGCACCAGACCCTTGGAGTTGGTCACTCAGGTTCATGCTAGTGGTGACAATGTCCGTTATGCCATCCTTGCTCCTGTGGTGCCTGCACTCTTCACCATCAACGAGGGTGAGCAGGGCAGCATGGTTCCCCAGGGCCACCCTGTCCCTGCGGCCGTGCCCTGTGTGAGGCCGTGCCTCCTCCCGCAGTGACGGGTGAGATCCGCAGCACCCGCCGGCTGGCGGTGGCCCACACACGCCTCCTCGTCCGGGCTTACAACGCGCTGCGCCCTGCCGACCACGCCACCACCACGCTCAACATCACAGTGCAAGGGATAGACCAGCAGGCTCCGAGCTGCATCCCAGCCATCTCTGTGTACGGTTCAGGGGGAGAGTGAGGTGTGGGGGATGCTCTGCCATGTCCAGGACAGGGGGGACAGGAGCTGAGATGCTGGCTGCCCTGCCACAGGTCCCAGGTGCCCGAGACGGTGTCCCCTGGCAGCACCCTCGTGACACTGAGGTGCACCGACTCCTCTGGCACTGAGGGGTCTCTGCATTATGCCCTTGAGGAGTCCCCTGCCTCCCAATCCCGCTTCCGCATGGAGGGGCCACAGCTGCAGGTGAGCAGCCACAGGTAACGCCCAGGTGGCTGGTGAGCCTGGACCTGGGGGAGCCCAGTGGGACACTGGGGGGACCCTCTGACATGCCATCATGCTGGATCCCACCCCAGGGCTCCCCGGGACTCTGTTCCCAAGGCCTGACCACTCCCCAGCCTTGCTCCCTCCTGGTCCCCCAGCACCACAGCTTTGAGGGATACCCTGGCTTTGTGGGACACCCCAGCTTTGCAGAGCACCTTGACTCTGCCTGACCCCCCCACCCTGTCTTGGCAGGTCAATGCCACCCTGGACTATGACTCAGAGGCCGTGGCTGCTGTGGGGTTCCAGTTCACGGCCACCGTTGTGGTGACGGCGGGAGGGCAGCCCCCACGGAGCAGTGAGTGCCTGTGTCCCTGGGGGGTGCAATGGGGGAGGTCATGGGAGAGGTAGAAAAAGCCCCTTCCCAGCCCCCAAACCAGCAGATCACTGAGGAAAAGTTTCTCCCTTGTAGCACCAGAGACACCTGGCCCCCAGGGGTGGTGCCACCATCCCTGCATCCCCCAGCCTGTCGCAGGGGGAGCACGCACAGCCCGGTGAGGCTGCAGGGTGCAGGGCAGTGCCATCACACTGAGCCACTGTGTGCCACACAGCCCGTGTGCCCGTGCTCGTGACAGTGACACCCGTCAATGAATTCACACCGGTGTGCCCCAACGGTACTGCCTTCACCGTGCCGGAGACAGCGGCTTTCGGCAGCGTTGTGGGGCGTGTGGCTGGCACCGACCGTGACTACCCACCAGACAGCCTCGAGTACAGCCTGGAGGGGGGCCCTGATCCTGCGCAGCCTTTCTCCATTGACACACGCACTGGTGAGCATCTTGCCCCTTCCCCAGCCCCCTCTGCACCCCGTGGCACCCACGGGTGCCCAGCAGCTCGCACCATTCCTTAGGTGAGATCCGCGTGGTGGGACCCCTTGATTCCCAGCAGCACAAGAGCTACAGGCTGACGGTGCGGCTGACAGATACCCACAACGACCTGGACCTGGCAAAGCGTCGGAGCCGCCTGTGCGACGTGGCCGTGCGCCTGCAGGTGCAAGTGCAAGCCCGTTGGGTGAACCATGGTGGGTGCAAGCCCCCGCGGGTGCCATACCAGCTCCCCCCACTCCCAACAGGCCGTGCCGGACCAGCCGCCGGTCTGCACTCCCGAGGTGCAGGAGCTGCGGATCACGGCCGGGTCGGGTGGCCGCCAGCCCGTCACCCGCCTGGCATGCCAGGGCAGCCCTGACAACGCTGTGCTGGCATACGCCATCACTGGAGGTGAGGAGTGGCCAAGCCACAGCACAACTCGGCCTCTCACCATGATGTGCCACTGAGAACACACTCCTGTCCAGGCAACGAGGACGGACGCTTTCGGCTGGAGGGGAACACTCTCTTCTACCTCCCCGATGACCTGGCTGAGCCCTGCACCTTTGTGCTGCTGGTGGAGGTGTGGGTCAGCTCCAGTATCCCCCGCCGCAGCACCATGGTGGCACTGGTGGTGCATGTCACCCCCCGGAGCACCCTGGTGCCACCCACCACCACCACCCAGCGCACGGTGAGCAGACCCTGCTGCCCAGGCAGCGCTCCTGGGTCTATCAGGACCCCCACCATCGCACGCCTCCTCACCCCACCGCTTCTGTAGACACTGCGGAAGGAGCCGCTGGTTGTCACGTGGACAGAGTCGGTGTGGCACCCGCCGGCCTGGTTTGTGGCCGTGCTGACTGTCTCTGGCATCCTGCTGCTGGCCACCCTGGGCTGCACAGCATGGAGCCTGCTGTGCAGGTGAGCCCCATGGCATGGCATGGCATGGCACAGCAAGCAAGGCCAAGGGCTCATGGCTTCCTTCTCCTCCTGCAGCAATCAAGACCCTGGCAAGCTGGTCCTGGGCAAGAGGTGGGTGCTGCATGGCCAGGGCGGTTGGATCAGTGGCAAAGGGCAGCCGTGCATATTGGCGCAGGTTCCCACAATGTCCTCACAGGCAGCCGGGAGATGCAGCGTGTTGGGGGTGTTTAATGTACCCTGTGTTTGGCTGTGGTTCGTGCGCTGCTGTGCTGGGGAGCTGTCTCTGACCCAGGGCAAGGGTGTAGTTCTGATGGGAGCCATGGGTGCAGAGACAGCAATTTGTCTGGGGGACAGGCATGGTGGTGGCCAGGCTGGGGCACAGACTCTGCAGTGGGCAGGGTGGGATGGCACAGCGCTGGCACTGCTGCCTGCCACAGGGCTGGGACCCAGCACCGGGGCTGGGGCCACTGCAGCTCACCAGGGGAGCCGTGACTTGACAGGGAAAGCTCCCTGGGAGGAGGTGAGCAGGCTGCACACCCCTGGAGAAGGAATGAGAGGTGACAGACGGTGGAGGGGAGGGTCCAAGGAGGCACTGGAGCCAGCACAGCCTGCAGCGGGCGTCTGCACGGCGAGGAGGAGATGTGCAAGCCCACAAGCAGGATAACAGCCACCTCCAGTGGCATAACCACCTTGGAGTGATGCATGGCTGAATCTGTGCATCCATGCATCCACTGGTGAGGTTGGGGACACAGTGCTTGGTGGCACTGGGGCTGTAGTGACCATGTAAGGGAGAAGATTCAGGCTCAGCCCCTCTAGGTGGCCCTGGCAGCAGGGAGGCTCTGGGCTGCAGGTCGCCCAGCAAAGCATCCTCCAAGCACAAGAACGGTGTGTGCTGGCATGTGGGGAAACAAGTGGATGTGGTGGCAGACCAGCTTGCCACTTTCAGACATTGCTGAAAGGTGGTGGTGCCTGGGAGAGCATGGCCTCTGCTGCAGGCCCCTTCAGTGGCCAGGGGACACACAGGCTGGGTAAGGGGACGATCAGGTAGGTGGATGATAAGCCTAATGGGGCACAGCTGGCAGTGCAAAGCCTGGCTAGCAACCTGCTCCTGGCAGTATCCCTCAGGGTCGAAGTTGGGAGCCCATCACTGACAGCATGCCCTCCCCTCACCCCCCCTCTTCTCTCTGCAGCTCCTGGAATGTGGTGGAGCAGAGAGGAGACGAGAAGGATCAGGGCCACCTCCATGCTGGCAGCCCAGTAAGTGTGTGCCATGATGGCAAGGGTGTGTGCCCTGCTGAGAGGGTGGGTGGGAGCCCTGGGGCTCTCAACACCCTCTCCTGCCTCTCCTCCACACAGGGGCAGTTTGACGGCCGTGCCCAGGACCCATGTGAGTGCTCTCTTTTGTGGGCTCAGCAGCCTCAGGCTGTGTCCCTTGGAGCAGAGGGGCCTGGGGGACAGGAGAGATGGGCACTGGGCAGCGCTGAGGGGGAATGGCTGACTGTTGCTTCGCTTCCCATCCCAGGCACAGGCAGGGACTATCTCTTCAACAGCGTGACTGGGGCACGGCGCTGGATCTGAGTGACGTGACTCGGTGAGGGGCTCCCTGTGACCCACAGCTCCCTGCAGACCATGCCAAGCAGAACACCAGGTCTGGCAGACACTTGGCGTGACCCTCGGGCCTGGGAGGAGGAGGGGTTCCCTCCTCTGTGACCAAACCCACCTCCCACAGGGTGCAGACAGCCCTTGAGCTGCCCCAGCTGGCACAGACCCAATAAATGTTGGCAGAGATTGCACCCCCTGCCGTGATTGCCGTAGGGAGTGCTGTGGCCAGGCCGTCCTGCCAGTGGCTGTCCCGCTGTGGCTGTCATTAACGCAGTCTCCAGTTTGGGATGTGGGTGGCCTGACCCAGAACCAGGATGGCAGTTATGGCAGCACCAGCCCCAGGCTGGGGTTGACACTGTGAAAAATGTGCTGAGGGTTTTGGCAGAGTCTGCTCTGGTCACGGCAGCATCTCCAAAGCTGCTGGATGTGACCCAGCCAGGACAGTCCTCTGCAGAGACATGATCTGGGGCAAGAAAACTCAATCATGGGTAATTCTGAGAAACTTTTGTCCCCTCAAGCTCTCCCTTGCTCAAGCACTCCCAGGTGCAAGTGGGTGGGACAAGCAGCTGGACAGCAGAGGGGCCAGGTTTCTTAATTGGGAGAAAAAGTGAATTAGCATGTGCGCAGGTAAGCACAACGTGCTGCAGGATTGTTAGCAGGGCCTGGCGAACGGGGAGCGCTTTGAAGGAGTCAGGCAGCCTGGGAGGTGGGAAATCGGTTACTTGAATTTCAAAGGAGCACTCCATGGGACATCTCCCTGGCAGCTCCCGGGGAAATGAAGCGCTGGCTGGTTAAAGGGAAAGGGACTAATTGGAGGAGTAGGTGGCTAAAAAGGAGGAAGAGGAGGGCAGGAGCCAGCTGTGAAATGTCCCAGTGAAGAGGGATTTCCGCTGTGACTCTGGGGGTCCCCTTGCCCTGAGCCCACAGGGACTGTGACCGTTTGGGAATTAAACCTTTTGTTGTACCGGATCGGAGCACAGACACGTTCCACTCGCTGCTCTGAGGAGCCAGCCTGGCGTGAGGAGCTGCTGGAGGCCAGGCCGCAGCGGGGGAAGCGGCGTTTAGCCCGGCTGACTCTGCACGATGCATCGCGCCAAGCGGGCGGCGCCGCCCCGCCG